GTGGTTGTGTGTGGGTGTGTTGGTGTGTGTGTCTCGTTCACGTGGTGGGGGGGGGGGAGTGAGTGTGTGTGTGTGTGTGTGTCTCATTCACGTGGTGGGGGGAGGGGAGTGAGTGAGTGTGTGTGTGTGTCTCATTCACGTGGTGGGGGGAGGGGAGTGAGTGGATGAGTCCATTCTTGGATTTCTTGAAGGGGTGGCTCGTACGCACCTGGCTAGGAGGGGCGCTCCCATTTTCTACGGATGTGGGGGAGGGAAAAGGAAGATGAGAAAATGTGAAAATGAGAGGCTCAGTTGTTAAGAGACACTTCTAAGGCAGCGCCAGGATTTTACTGAGCCTTTCTGCTCGTGGGCCTCCCCTGCTCAAAAACACCAGTTTTGTGGCATTAATTCTAAACTACAGATCTTTGCATTTCAGACATCACAAGCCATGCAAGGAGGGTAGAAAAAGATGCAGAAAGAGGACCGAAATTAGAGACGCTGCAAGGCCCAGGTCCAGCCTGGCAAACCTCCCGCAGCGGCTCATCTTGCAGATCTGTGGCCTCTGCTCCCCTCCCTAAACCCACTGCCGACCAGCAACTCCAGCTGGGTGTGTCTGGGCTCTGAAACCTACATCCACAACAAAGGCTACCTAAGGTCGACCCCACCCCCACCCCCAAAATTAATAGACCTCAAGTCTTCCCAGATCTACCTGTCCTCCAGAACAAGTTACAGGGATGTCCCACACCCCCTTAAACCTGACCATATTCCCAGATGGGACCTTACTGTCTATTCATTCCTTCTAGGTAGGTTAATACTGAGATAGATGACTCTTATTTATTGTTTGTTTTGCCTCGGTCCACTTGCCTGGAACAGGGCCTGACTCATAGTACCAAGCACCGTGGCTGCTCACAAGTACTTGCTGAATGAATATTAAATTAATGGGCCAGATCCTGGCCTTGTCCCAGTGTGTTGGAGGAGACAGATCCAGACACAGAACTAAGGGAAGGATCAAGGTAGTGACTAAGGGAAGAACTGGGGAGCCTCTGGGGAGGAGTCAGAGACGACTCTGACAGCAAAGGGTGTCCTAGAAGGAGCAATATCTGAGTTAGGCTTTGAAAGATCATTCAAGTTAGGCAAGCAATATTACACAGGTAATACAGCTTACTTGGGCATGGGAAATACCCTGACAGCCTGCTTTTAAAGACTGAGGGGACAAGCGTAGATAAGTTGGAGAAGAGAGGCAGTTGCTGAAGCAAAGCTTAGTGAGAAGGAAAGCGTCAAAGCATTCATTCATTAAACACTGTTTTATGTTAGATGTTGGCTCATTTCATACTTCCAGCAACCGGTTGGAGGTACTATTACGAACCGCATTTTACAGATTAGGATACTGAGGCTCTGAGCAATTACACAATTCTCCACGGTCACACAGCTCAAATGTGCCGGACTGGGCATTTGAACCTAGGTAGTCTAGTTCCAGAGGCTAGCTCTGAATGACACTATACTGATTATCTAGGGATGAAGTCTGTGACCACTGAAGATTGGCTGGGGTCTACCATGGCCCTTTCTCCCCTTTGCGTCTTGCCTCCTCTCGCGCTCTAGACAGAAAGTCCGCCTATAGATGTCTAAGCCAATCAGCATTTAGGAAGGGGGCGTGCCTAGTGGACCTCACAGCCAATTGGTGGCTGGGAGGTGCCTAAAGACAAACGAGATTCCTAAAGCGAGGCCGGGAGGGGCGTGGCTATAACCGGCACTGGCGCCCCTGGCACGTGCCCTTGAGCCTCGAGCCTCTAAGGCGCAGGGAAGCCAAAGGGCGTGCGAGGGGCACGCGCATGCGCAGGAG